GACCTGTCGGACTGAGGATTCATCAGGAAAAGGCCGAAGGGGTATTCGTCAAAGTCCAGTGGGGTAGTCGAGCCGAGGGCGAGACGACTTGGAAGAGAGGAGACCGATAATCGGAGGGTGTACCGAATATCCTGTATTGATATTCCCTTAGCATTCTAGTGCTTTCTGGATGTTTATTCTATTGCTATAATAATAATTTTAGTATTGTTTTATCCAATTAATTGGTAATAATCAGTCAAAACCGCATCGGTATAACGATTAATAATATAAGTTAAATAGCTTGTATTTATATCGTTACTAATGATAAATTATGTAAAATATGATATGCTCATTATCTGACTTATCATTTTAAATATTACATAAACAAACATCTAACCTAATATTTTATTATTTGCAATATTTGTGCATGTGCACAAGATGAAATGCTAGTGTATATATATACATGAAATTAGGGCTTGGGGGACATGATAGGTGAGCTTGTCTCCCATAGTAAAATAAGTTTGGTGAGGATTTAATGTTTTGTCTTGCATTTGAATTTTGAAGAAGACTAGTCAAACCCTAGGATTTTTGTATTAGGCCATTGTATTAAAGAGGACTAAATAAAAATTGGGTCTTATTATTTAATTGAAGATGGGCTGGAATAAAACTTGGGCCATATGATTCAAAGAGTGTTGGGCTTCATTTATGCAAGAGTTGGCCCTTGAAAAAATACTTGGGCTTTGGCTTATTGGCTCGGAATTTATACTTGGACTCGGTTATGGATAGGCTCGGCATTGGGCCGAGGGTAATGGGTCACGGCCATTGGGCCGTCCGAGATGGCCTTGGGTCGTGTGGGAAATGGGCTTGGGCCGAGGCTCTGCGCTCGACTGGGCTTCAGCCCTTATAAAATAAGATTTTCGATTTTAAGGCTCAGTTTAAAATTAAAAATGAAATCGATACTTAGGCTAGAATAATTTGATTTTTTTTTTTTTTTGGAATTAAAAATCAAATGGATCCTCCATGACTTAAACTTATATTTTTTATAAATCATTTTAATGAAAATAATAATAATTAAATGCATCAAATAAATAAAATAAGACTTGAAATAAATAAAACTTACTATTCATTGAACTAAAGTTGAGCTCATATATAATACTAAAAATGTTTGGGGCGTTACAATTCTCTTTCATGATCAAAAACAAATTTTAAGAAGAATATAACCTATATTTGTTTTCTTTGAATATTGTTTCGTATTTTACATACTATTTTATATTGTAAATAAAATTAGAAAAGGGTATATTTGTTTTTTTTAATTTTGAGAAAATTTCGAGAAAAATAAAATTAGAAAAAGATATATACTATTTATAGTGTAAATTTATATCCAATTTATTTTCAGTTTATTATTATACATTTAAAAACCAATACTCTTATACATACAAAAATCCATTCACAAAAGTACTTACACAACTAACATAAAACACACGACAGAAACTACAAAAACAAACAAAACAACAAACATTAATATACATAAACCATGAGAAAATCGACGTTCTCAGTATTTTTTCCTCAACACAATTATCTTTGAACTCTACAACCAACGTCAACCTTTCCACCAACATCATCTTTATATTCAGTATATTTGAGGTATATGTTTCGTACATAAAATTTGCAACATGTTGCGTTTTAGGAATACTAAATATTTTAGGTATATTTCAATATATTTTAGGTACATGTTTCGTAAATATATATTTTAGGTTATACTAAATATTTTAGGTATATTCAGTATATGTTTCATATACTGATGTTGCATTTGTATTCAGTATATTTTGAGTGTATGTTTCGTATATGTTTCCCACCGTTTTATGCAGACGACAGAGCTAAAAAGAACTATGACAAAAAACCAAACACCCATTCACAAAAAAAAAAATATAAAAGTTAAAACATAAATACAACTACAAATAAAAACAAAACAAAAAACATTAATATGAATATCTATCACAACATAAACAATAATAAGCCGAAAAAAAATTCTCATTTTTCGTATCCGAGTCAAGCGAACCACTGCCGATTGAAAGCGGGGACGCCCTTCATCTCGTCACGCTGCCTTCGACAAACTCCGTAAGTGCTCGACCCTCGAAAAAATTGGAGATTTCGTCCTGTAAGTGGCACCTATTTGAGTTTTGGTCCTCTCCGATGCCCACTTTTGGATCACGTCCCGTAAGTGGCAAAAATCGTGAGAAATGGTCCTGTCACCGGCAAAAGCAGGTCATTTTTACCGGCTAGTCAACGTGGCATTTTTACAATTTTTTTT